CATCCCTGAGACCATAGCAGCAACCCTAGTCACCGAACCCTGCGTCCAAAGTACACGTCACAACATCTGTACCAATCCCTTACACGAACCCTCAGGTCGCAAAAAGATGCCGCGGCCTGTGTAAGTTCTTATGGAGAACGATCATGGGCATATGCTCCAGAGGGTTAACGTTATGGACGCAGAGAGTTCCGATATACCTCGTTGTATACATCGAGCCGAGGTTCCTCGTCAACGACATATCTTTGTAGTATTCAACTGCAGCGGGACCTGAACAGTTCGAAGGTATGCGAAGGCAGATAGAGTAAAGACTCTTCGTGAATTTGGTTTCCTTCAGCATCTTGGCAACACCCTCCCACACTTTGGGGTAGAGTATGAGGCTCTTGGCCAAAGGTTCTCCCAAGGCTACTGAGGCGTTGTTGCCCAAGACGGATGAACTGATCCACCATAAGTACTCATCTCTGTCATCGACGAGGCCGTCCAGGTTCTTGTAGAGTTGGTCACGGAGATACTCCAGAGAGGTCGCCGCCTGTTGCAAAAAGAATACGGCAGGAGCGTCTTCAAGGTATAGATGCTGTGTGCTCCAGATCTGACAGATCTTTCGCGCGATGGGTGGGGGAATGAATTGGGAGGCACAGGGTGGAAGTTCGTGGTTCTCTTTCTCGAGCTGCCAGATATAGTCGATGAGGTGCGGCCTATGGAGAGCAATCTCCTCGTCGATAGCGCCGAGGCCATCCGCCGTGAGGCGCCCGAAATAGGCCTCCGCATTGGAAGCATTGAGCCTGACCCTCTCGTAGAGACGGGTCATGGACTTGGCGTACATCGCTCGAGAGACGCGCACGAGCGAGGAGAGTGTCGGCTTGTGGGCGGTCGCCTGGAGGTATTTGAGGATGAGGCTGCGGACCTCTGAGGGGAGGCGGTCGAGAGTGATGAGGGACATGGGCGGGGAGTTGTGGGGGTGCAAAGCTGTGAAATTGGGGAGTTGAGGAGATAGTGGATGGTGGAAGGAGCACATGAAAGAACAAGCAGCATCAACACCCCATCACTCTTCAGGGCAGCCACTGTCCGCCTCCGGATCCACACTAAGCTGGTCCGGACGTGACATATCTACCCTCAATGATTTTCTGGATTGCATCGAAGGCACACATAATACATGGAATTCTATGTCATCAGGTCGAAAGATACTGTACGATTACTGTTACATGAGTCAGATTACACAGTCTCCCCACAGACGGGACAGGCGACCTTCTCGTCCGTACCGAATAGCTTGAGTGTGACAGGCCAGTGTAAATCCCTTCCCGGTGTGGCTGCCCGGTCCTTCTTTTCCCTCTCCAATTCGTCCCAGAAACTCCAACTCTGGTGAGAGACCCGATCTACAGCTGTGAATTGGCTGTTGTAGAAATGAATTTGGTCGGGGAGGAGCAATGTTCTGTCGGTCAGCAACCTCAGTAAAATTTGTGCCCAATATGCTCACGATTGTGATTCCTTGATGCTCGCGAGGAGAGAGGACATGAAGGCCCCGATGCTCGCCTCATGTGAGAGCATACCCGGTGAGTCCTCAGGCCGGAGAAAGAAGTGCAAGCTCTCATATACGTTGAGCTTGAACATGTAATCCAGGGGATTTGCATTGTGGATGCACAACACGCAGATGTTCTCTGGGTCCAGGTTCGTCGACAGCATGTCCCTGCAATATTGGGCCGCACTCGCACTGGCACAATCGGCAGGGATCCGAAGGCAAAGGCTGCGGGTATCAATGTCCTCTCGGATCGTGTTTGCAACACTCTCCCACACCTTGGGATAGTGGATGAGGCTCCTGGCCAGAGGCTCTCCCAGAACCAGCGATTCAAGGTCGTCCAACACATATTCGGATACATACTTCATATCCTCCACCTGGCCGTCCAGGTTCTGCTCAAGCTGGCGGTAGAGATGAAGCACGGAGGTCGCAGCCTGTTGCAGGTAAGCAACGGTGGGAGCGTCCTCGAGAAAGACATCTTTGGTGCTCCAGATCTGGCAGATCTTCCGAGCGATAGGAGAGGGGACGAAGCTGGGCAAGGGGGGCTCGCAGTCCACTGTCGCGAGCTGCCAAATGTAGTGGGAGAGGTGCGGCTTATGAGAGGCAATTTCCTCGTCGATTGCGCCAAGACCATTCGCCGTGAGGCGCCCGAAATAGGCCTCCGCATTGGAGGCATTGAGCCTGACCCTCTCGTAGAGAAGGGGCATGGACTTGGCGTACATCCCTCGAGAGACGCGCATGAGTGAGGAGAGTGTCGGCTTGTGGGTGGTCGCCTGGAGGTATTCGAAGATGAGGTTGCGGACTTCGGAGGGAAGAGTGTCGAGGGTGTCAATGGCCATTTCTGCGAGAGTTGTGAATGTGGAGTTTGTGGAAATGGTGGAGTTTGTGTAATGAGCAGATGGAAAAAAGAAACAGCGACACGCATATCACGGCCCTCCGAGTCTCAAATGTCCGGATACACACACAACGCATCTTGTCCGGACGAGACATCTCCTGTCAGTCAGGTCGCACTCGGTAACATGCATCAGAATTCACATATTGGAGGTACACATAACACATGACATTCTATGTCGTCAGGCCGAAAGATAGCAATAGGACAGATGCTCTGAGAGAGACATGGAATGGGAAAGAAGGAAGGAACGTAATGACTATGCGGTAGAGATACTGTTGAGAACGAGGCCACGTCTATGCTTAAGGTATGCTGTATACAAGAGGTATCGTGAGATTGTTCGTAGAAAGTCCGTGTAGGGCATCGCCAGCCCCTTGTTGAAAAGAGTCGTGAGATCAAAGCTCGCTCAGAATCTTGTCGACCTGCTCATTCAACCATCCTGCTCGAGCTTGAAGTCCGGCATTCGGGAAGAGCGCGTAGGTCGCATCTCGGGTCTGCCTCTTCGTCCTATCAAAGCAGTCAGCACCATCTCTCACCTCACAGAGACCAACGTACACGCTCATCAGATCCTGTTTCCCCAGCCATTCCCTCAACACCTCGAGGACCTCTTCGTCTCCGACGAGGCTCGCCTCGTTCACCTTCATTCCCGCCAGATTGTTAGCGTTTTCACCACCCCCACCAAGCGTGAAAGAGCTCATCCTCGACTGCGACGGCATCATCGTATTCCTCGGCGCCCCACCCGCTCCCATACCCTGGGACATCGACATGGATCCTCCGGTATGTTGCGCGCCCATCGGCATTCCCATTCCCATGCCCATACCTCCTCCCATGGGCATCATCATCGGGCTTCCGTACATCGACCCTGGACCCATCGCGCCTGGAGGATAGAACGACGGAGGTCCTTGAGAATGGAATGAGCCGCCGGTCATCATGGGGTTCATGAAGCCTTGTTGAGGGGCGTCATAGACCGAAGCAGGACCCCACATGGACATACCCGCCATGCTCTGGACTCTGCCTCTTCCATCCTTGCCTGCGCCGCCTCCCATTGCCAGAGACTGTTGGCTCGGCGAATTGCGCATCCGTTTTGACTCGTGTCCCTTGCCGAGAGGCGAAGAGTCACGCCAATAGTCAGCCCCGCGAGGTAGGTCGGAAGTGGAGGAGTGGAATGATGGGGCACGGTTGTTGTTGCCGATGGGATTGGGGTGGAGGCGGGAGGCAGCTGAGCGGCTGGTCTGAGTCGTTCGGCGGGATTTTTCGGAGGGCGCCGAGCGGATGGATCCAGTCTCCCAAGCGTTGTACTCGTATTCTGAGCCTAGGTCAGCTTTTGCGCTCAGTCTGGGTCATGTCACTCACCCTGGAAAGTTCTGTACGGAATCATACTCTCGCTGAAAGGCTCGTCGTCCTCAATGACGACCGTCTTCTGGCTACCTTCACCGATGACCTTACTTTAAGAGCCGTCAGCGACCGTCGTTCACGATACAAGCTTGTGCGTACCGAGTGTTACCCCAACTAAAGTCGTCCATCGACCAGAACGAGTACAACGGCAAAAGCACCGAATAGATCGGGAACGCCAAGAGGTACACGATCATCCATCCGACGAGCATAAACTCTCGCTTGAGGATAAAGATGATAGCTTGAAGACCGTAGGTGGCGGCAATCATGGCGAGGGAGATGGTAGGGAGGGCGGCTTGATCGGTAGAGACCACGATAACAAGGTAGATCAACTTTGGTCATACGTCAGCTTTCGCCTTGTGTCAAAGTGGAAAGTATACGCACATAGCCACAGGTGGCAGGTAAGATGACTGTACCCAGGAGATCCAAGAAGACGATCCACCTCATCGAGAACATACAGAATCCACACATTTCAGGCAAGAACAGCAGCTCAGCCAGGTTATGCACCGTAGAGTTGATCCATCGTCGTCTCTGCGAAAGAAGCACAGCCCAGCTACTAGGCGCCACAGTATGCGCGATAGCATCAGGCGTAAACTTCATCTTGAACGTCGGGAAGTGCTTCATCATGATTGTCGTGAGGTATCGGTCTTCACCCAAGGAGAAGAGGTTCTTTTTGTGGAGGGTGTCGACGTTTGGCTCAGCATACTCGTCGATGACGACGGAAGATATGATGATGGGTCGGCCGCCCTCGACTGTTCTGAGACGGTAGACGGAGAAACAACCGGGAAGACAAGTGACCGATCCGAAGAGGGATTCGAAGGCCTTGGTGAGATGGTGGGAGATGTAGTACTCGTAGACCTACTTCTGGGTCAGCTATGCTTTGGTTTGGATTGAGGCGGCGCACCTGAATCATGGTAGTGAAACTCTCGTTCTCATTCGCCAACTTTGTCTCTCCACACAGCCCAATAATTCTCTGATCATCCGACATACAACTGATCATGCGGTTCAACGAATCTGGCGTCACCGTCGTATCCGCATCCACCTGGAAGATGTATTCGTAGAATGCCGGGTCGATGCCGATGACATTGCGCATTTGGTGGTAGATTTCGAGTTCGAGAGGTGACATTGGGGCTTCGAAGTGGACGCGGTTGAGGTATTGCATGAGGAGGACTTGGGAGTCTCGTTTGCCTCTGTTACCGGGCTTGGAAGTTTCCGATGGTTTGCCGACTTTGACGACGACAACGTAGCTGAAGCCATGTCAGCACAGGTCGTTTGGGAAGGGATGTGACTTACGGGACGACGTGGCCCTCGAATTCGTACAGCCCAGAGTACACTTTACCATAATTGAGCTGCTTACTGCCTTCACCAATACTTTTACAAAGCAGAGGCTCCGGATCAACCTTGGCGTCCACTCCCAGCAAATCCAATACAATCCTCGGCGTCGGCCTGTTGTTTCCACTACCCACGATATTACCATCGCACATGATGAATATCAACTTTCGCTTGTCGTCATAGTTGAGCGCGGCGAGCGAGTCGATCGTGCGTTTGAGCGATTCTTCGCCTTCGGTATAACAGGGGACTTGGCAGATGACGAATTTGTCGAGTAGTTCGGGGTATCTCTTGGAACCGAGCTGGAGGGCGGCCAAGACTGAGGAATGGTCAGCTTCAAATCACAGAGGGACGCTGAGACATACACTTGGAAGCGATGGTAGCCATGATGATGATGGAGAATGCCAGCAACAGATAGTTCTGCACCGTACACTTTGCCTCTGTCCTGAAATCCAGCTTGCCATAGTAGAACGCATTGTCCAGACATGTCATCTGCGCCGTCTGCTCGTCAGATGAGAGTCCACTCAGGATCTCATCCAGATCACTTGTGATATCCTGTCCAGAGGAAGATTGAAAGAGGGACGCGATATCGTCGTTCAGGAAAGAGTAGTTGGATTGGCCAGTGTAGTAGGTCTCAGTCTCGAGATAGTCGGACAGGTCGTAGACTTTCTTCTTGTAGATGGCCCAGCTCCTGTGGGCACGTCAGTGAAGCCCTGAAGAGAAGGTGAGGACGTACTTGGAGTCTGAATCCGCCCCATCCGCTACCTGATTTTTCGTGTACACATAGTACCCTTTGTAGTACTTGTCCAGCTTTGGCCCGAGCGTATCCTTGTACCAGTTGATATCAGTCAACTTGGTCTCGGTATCTGTCTGCGCCGGGCCGGACGTATGCACGGCATAGTCTAAGATGGGCGTAAAGTTGGCGCGCCTCAGGACGAGGTCGGTGGAAGAGACGAGGCCGGGGCAGGCGACGGACAGGGGCATGGGAAAGTAGTTTGTGAGGTCTTGACCGGCAAATTCGAGCATGACGTCGGAGGAGGTGGTGTAGGACGTCAGGTCGGAGTGTTGGCCAGAGTAGAACTTTGTAAACTGTGGTCAAGTCAGCGAGTGATCGAACAAGGAGGGAGAGCGAGGTACATCATATACCTTGCCCGCAATGGCGGCATAGTAGTCGTCGTCGCCGGCGTGTGTCGCGAGCTCGGTCTCGTTCCACGCCTTGTCGCTATCCGGACACAGCAGCTTGCCGAAGATGATGATGTAGAACAGGACGATACAGCAAGAGAGAATGATCATCATAAAGATCGCCAGCTTTTCTCTCCACGCCATCCTGACGTCGGCACGCTTCATCCTGCCGACATAGGTCAACAGGAAGCTCGGTATCCACCAGGTCATGGTCCAAGTGATGCGGAGCCACCAGCGACGAGCAGCAGTAGTAGAAACAATCTCGGTCTCCTTGATTTTCTTCTCCTTTACGATCATGCCGCCCGCCTCGGGGTCGAGGGGCACCTTGGAGTCGGTGTAGGCGGGGACATGATCCGGCTCAGACCAGACGGCGCTGTCGTTGTTGGTCTCGTAGCCGACATTGTGGCCCGCCACGTCGTTGTACTGAGCGTACATGGGCTCGTCGTAGGAGCGTGAGTGGGAGAGGGAGGGTCGGAAAGGGTCGGTCTGGTATCCCTGCGGGGGAAGCTGGGCGGCCTGGCGGTCGTCGGGGGCGGTGGGGGAGTGCTGGACGGGCTCGGAAGCGTGGGTGATGTCCTGGTACCGGTTGGAGTTTTGAAGTGGATTGTCCATGGCGGACGGTGGAGATGCGGATGAGAGAGGGGATGAGAATTTGGAGGGCGATGAAGGCCGCCCTGGTCTGTGCGAGAGCGAGGTGTTGACGCTGGTGCACAGGGCGGGAGATGGGATGTTCTTGAGGATGTTGTTGCTGCCGGGGGACGTTGTCAGCGCACCCGCGTGCTCCTGCGCCACTCACCGTGCTCTTCTCCTTTATGCCCACTGTAGACACCCTTTGCCCGCGGCTTCCTTCGGGTCAGACGAAGGGTGTGGATCTCGTTGGATCTGGGACCGGAAGTAGACAGACCCAGCTGCTCACGTACGATGCATGCCTCCCGTGTGCCCTATGCTGTGCCCTTCCCTCTGTTTCCTGATTCCCTCCAAGACCCCTCCCTTGGCTCCCCTTTGCACCGCCTGTACGCTGCAAAAACACAACAAACACAGGCTCCGCGCTCAGACCCCCGCTGATTTTGCGTACCCTGAGCGTCGGCCATCGCCGCGAGAGGCTTTCGGAAGCCCGCTCTTTCGGTTAGCTGTACGCCAGGTGGCATGAATTGGGGCATGGATGTGCTGGGAAAGGAGTGATGCATGCAGACATGATATAAACAAGAAGCTTGCCCCCACCACTTCAAGAGCGCTTTTTTTAATCCAGAAGGAATCAAACGAGCCGAGTAGTGTATATGACACACAAAAGTGTATATACGGACCGGATAGAGGCGAGCGGAAGTAGATGATACATATACTATCTTCGGTACGTATCAGTGGACAGTGTATGGTCAATGATAGCATAACTCACTTGACAGCAGACCGTTGTGAGTAAGCGTCACGTCGATGGGTGATGGCGAGCACGCCCTGTACTAGCCCTGTACATCAGCATGCGTTGCCGAATGATAGCGCAACGCACATCAATATATTTCCAGGCAGACGGGACAAGGCATCTTCTTCTCGGGCCCGCTTATAGTCAGCGTGACAATGCGGGAATCCCAACCCGATCCCTTGCCCTCCCATTCACTCTCCAGACGGTCCCAGAAATTGACTCCTGCGTGGGAGACACGATCTTCGTCTGTGAACGTGCTGTTGTAGAAATGAAAGTTGTGGGGGATCTGATATCTATTTGGCAGTTGAATAAGCATCAGAAGCAGATTGGTAGCCAAAGCTCTCACAAGTGGTCCACGCCGGCAATGAAATGATCCATGAACGCTCCAATGCTGCTCTCGTGTGAGATCATACCCGGCGAGCCCTCAGGGAGTAAAGAGATGTGTAAGTTTTTGCCAGCTTTCCCTGACATATGGTCCAGGGGATTGGCGTTGTGGATACACAGTTGTTTCGCGACATTGCCGTGCCAACGACTGGATAGGAACATGTCTTTGCAGTACTGAGTTGCCCCGGCATTCGGGCAGTTGGGAGGAAGGCGAAGGCAAATCGAGTCGAAAGGGCCCATGGCATTCCCCTTCAGAAGGTTAAAGACGCCCTTCCAGAAGTCCGGAAAGAAGATGATACATCTAGCCAGAGGCTCCCCCAGAACTACTGAGGCGGAGGCGTCACCGTAGTCGTCGAGCAACGTCTTGGAGACCCCGCTCAACGCCCGTTCCTTGTGAGCCCCACTGAGGCCGTCCATATTTGCTCGGAGCTGGCCGCGAAGATGTTGCAAGGAAGTGACAGCCTCTAGCAGAAACATAGCGGCAGGGCCATCCTCGAAACGTATATGAGTAGTCCTCCATATCTGACAAAGCTTTCGCGCAATGGGAGACGGAATGAAATGGGAGGATGGGATTCCGTTAGGCAGCCGCGCCAGCTGCGAAACGTAGTGAAGGATATGCGCCTTGTGGGCGGTAACCTCTCGTTCAACACCGTCTCGACCTTCTGCTATGAGACGCCCAAAGAAGGCCTCCGCATTGGAGCCGTTGAGACGGACCCTCTTGTACAGGCGAGGGATCGACTGGGCGTAGAGTTTTCGGGAGACGCGCGCGAGGGTAGCAAGGGTGGGTTTGTCGGTTGTCGTCTGGAGGTATACGAAGATGAGTTGGCGGACTTCAGAGGGGAGGGGGTCGAGGGTGGTAAGGGCCATTGTCGAGGGGATCGTGGAATCTGTCTGTCGAGTTCAAGAGATGACGGATGAAGAAGAGAAAGAAATCTGAATGAAATTCGTTCATCTCCGACCGTCAGTGATTTTCAGTGTCCGGATGCACAACGCACCGGGTCCGGACCAGGTCTGCTGTGGGCGCTGCCCCCAGATACAATAGTACTTTATGATCCTCTACTGGTATTATACAAACTACAAAGCGAAGTTCAGACGGTCTTATGATATACATGTATGACAGTATGATATATGCACACCCCTTTTGCCCTTCTGCACTTTTACTTTCTACATTCATGCGTCATACTGCCTTCGCAATGCCTAGCGTGGTCGTAAATGTCACATTATCACCAAAGAGTGTCCATAAGCTTCAAGCTCATCTCCACACCCAAGAAGGTAGCAGCCTAAATCATTGTTAGCTACCACTCCGCCCGTATCAGTCAGAGAAAATGGACTCACATTGGCAGGGACAGCCCTAGTCATAGCTGGCCCAAAGCCCTTCCACAAGGCTGAGATGCCATCGGCTGCTATAAGCTTCCGGGCACAGTCTGTGAAGCCGGTGTATGTGCCGTGGGGTGCGGATTGAAGACGAGATTTGATTGTCTGCAAAGGTCATGTCAGTGGGAAGAAGAAGAGAAGGGACGAGAGACGTACGTCTGGAGGGATACCCAAACTCCACATCGCGATACCAGCACCACCTCCCGCAGCCATAATCGCCCCGACACTCAACGGCGGCGCCGGTGCCCTCTCTCCATTCTCCAGGAACCCAGGCTCCTTGGACAACTTCTTCTTCAAGAGCTCGTAGGTCGCAAAGTAAACGGCGGAACCAGGGCCGTCACGGACGAGGGTGGCAAGGGTTCCTCGGAACAGGGAGCGGATACCGCCCTCAGCGTAGAGCTTTGTGATGATGTCAAATACACCGTTGTAGGCTTGAGCACCGTTCTGACCTTGAACCTGTAATTCAGATCAGCAGGTGCCCCAGACGAGTGACATGAGAAGAGAGCGTACCTGGAGAAGAACCTTGATACGTTCAGCTGGAGCGGCAACGAGTGTAGCTGGTAAAGCACTGAAGGCACCTGCGAACGCCAATTCGCCAATGCTCAACGCCTGCTCCTTCCTGTCTGCACCTGAGAAAGAGTACGCAATACGCTTGCCGACATCGTAGCCCCAAAACGAGATAGCAAAGATGGGAGTGACTCCCAAGATTGGCGGGGTTACTCCCCGGTAGAGACTGGGATCTTTGTCAGTGATACCCTTCGTTGCAACGAGGTTGGACGCACCCTCGGAGACCGTCAGCAGCAACGGTCTTGCGGACGACATCAACAGCGCCAGTGTAGACTCCAGGAGCAGCTGTTTGCAGCCGGGTCTTTGTCAGGTCAAATGGATGTCCCACGAGCACACATGAGCTACACCATGAGATCAGTATCGGGCGCAAGACCGAGAGGGAAGACTTACATGCCACCAGCACCGCCGGAGAGGAAAGATTTGACGGGGTCGACCGTCTGCTTGGAGGCCTCCTTGTTTACGGCAGTGATTTCTGAGGCGTCGTCGGACATGGCTTGCTGGATGGATGGGATGGAAAGAGAAGGGAGAAAAGATGGAATACCAAGAGAACGATTGGACTCGCCGCCGGGTACGGGTATTGTGCAGGCCGGATAGTAATTTGATGCCGTTGTTTTACGTCAACAAACTGTCTATCATGCTGCATTCAAGTCGATGTCAATATCATAGCTATCCTCACCCTTCATGGTCTCTCCCTTCACTCGCCGAGTCTCCATTCAGAGTCAAAAAGTCTCAGAACAAGTCTGCCAAACGACCCCAAAACCAACGCTCGTGGCTTTCGTCCGCGCTGCCGGACTCTCCAGCAGTGCTCTGTACAGTAAGAGTACCCTACATCACGCTGAGCGTCTGATTAAACGCTTGGCTATTGAATCTGACAATCTACAGTATACTCGTGATTCAAGACTCGTAGAACCTCATCGTAATCCCTCATCATTCCTCTCCACCCGAGATCCTGACAGCAAGATTTTCCTGATTGATCAGAAGACATTCGCCCCACCGAGGACGACCATGGCTCCTACCACGATACTGAGCATTCCTGCCTTTTTGAGACCAATCGGCGATGACTGAGTGGCCGACGAGGTAAGAAGCGTCGTCTCATTCGTGAAAGTCACCGTCTTTTCCTACATCAGCCTCTCTTCTTGCTCTCTAGGACCAAGCACTCACAGGAACCCCATCCATCCCATTACCCCCATAAACCCATCCCGTCGTCCCGTTCGTCCCTACACTCATCTCGTCCTGTCCGCAAGTCATCCTGACGCTCTTGACGGTGTTCCAGAAGTACCCGTTGGAGACGTAGTCGCTGTCGTCCCAGTTGATCATTCCCCCAGCCCAGTCGATGGTGCCTTGGGCGTTGTCGGAGGTACCGGCGGGCCAGATGGATATTTGGATGCGGGAGGGGGTGGAGGGGAATTTGCTGTTTCAAGTTCAGTTAACCTACTATGGGTAGAAGATGGGAGAGATGGGACGCACTATTGAGAGCCGTCGGATGAGAGGGTGTCGGTCTTCTGGACGGTGCGGACGGTGGAGCCGTCGATGTTCCAGTTGATGTAGTCTTCAGTCCATTCGAACTATCTTTCAGTGTCAGCATAGCTAGTGAGCAGACATCAAGAATGAAACTGACGGAGTAAGTGTGGAAGTTGGAGGCAGTGTCGGATGAAACAGAGCTCGATGCTCCTTCCGTTGCCGAGTCTAAGCCATATCATCAGTCTGAGATCATAAGGGGTGGAGCAAAACATACAATTCGCGACCCCCAAGTACCAGTAGTTGGTCTGGACCTGATCTGTTGTCGCCCCCGGCCACTCCCAATCAATCTCATCCTTGACATCCGACATGGTGATTGCCGCCGTCACTACACCCGCCCACTTGCTCGTCTCGAGCACAAAGTCGACGGTACCATAGATCATGTATCGAGTGGAGGAAATCTTGGTGCCTCCATTATCTTGAGTCAAGATGAGGCGGGCGCCATCGTCTGTAGAGAGTATGGTGCCTGAGTTGACTTGAAGACGATCAGCTCTGTTCGCGCGCCAAGAGAAATGAAGGACGTACTGACCCAGTCCCAGGCGGTGGCTTTTCCAGTGTAGTCCGAAGCGTTTTGGTTGACCCTGCTGAGATCCGTGAAATCTGTCTCCAGAGATACACAAATGGGGTCAGGGCGACAAGACGTTGTCTGGTACGAGTCTGATCATGTGATCATCAGCAACTGCGTAGTATGATAAGTTTGACTCACAAAGAGGTTCACATCCCCCAAGACAGAAAGAATCAGACCCGCAAAAGCCGTACTCGGAGCAACATGGGGCACTCTCAGAACAGAGGCTGGTGGCGTTGCAAGTCTGGGCGGCGACTTGAGGGACGAGGGTGATCAGGGCGGAGGCGAGGGCGAAAAGGGGAAGGGAGAGCATGGTGAGTGGTTGAGGAGGGAGGAGTGGCGAGAGACTGAGTTTATAAGGATATATAGAGAGAATGGGAGAAAGTACAAAAGACCAAGAAGTTTGTGCCGCCGAGACCACCACGTTTTCTTTGCGACGCGCACGGCCACTCAATTCCAGCTCCGCGTTGTTGACCTGTGTTGATCGACAGGCAAGGCACCAACGTGATCGAGAACGTCCAAGTAGCTTCTGTCTTCTCTTGAGTATTGCATCCTGTTCGCCATCCACGACATGCACGATGATATATACTGTATCTCGGGCTAGACTGTGACGTTGCGAGACTGGCAGAGGTCTCGGCATGAAGAATCACAACCAGCGTGACTTTCCACACTTTTCTGACGGGCATCCCACCCCCGTTTAATTTGTCAAGTAGACAAGCAGACTGATCAACATGGATGGCTTCGGGGCTCAATACCAGAATTATGCCGTGTTCCTGCTAGTCCTCCTCGAGACAGAGCTGCCGAACCAAACAAGCCAGATCTCGGTTGGCCGGAGCGGACATGACCGCCCACTAACAATGACGACAAGGACAAAAATAGCAATGTGGCTTTTGGGTTTTGATCTCCAGGATCACAAAACAGCACAAAACGTTCTGCAACGTTCGACAACATCACAGGACCAACAGAGGTATATCAGCCCTCCAATGACAACCTCCCGCCCACACTCGGACTCTCACTCCTCTTACGTCCTCAAATCACATCGCTCTCCCCATCCCTACTTTTCCCCGACACAGCTATCGTTCTCGGACCCACATACGGGGGTCAAGTCTGGAAGCTGGTCTTCAAGAAGGTCAAGAAAAGGGCGGTACAGTCCGAAACAGGCGAGGGTTCATTATGTGACTCACAAGTCGGCGGCGGTTGGAGAGACTGAGTCAGGCGTGGGGCGGAGTGAGGAGGGATCGGAGAAAGCAAAAGATGGGGAAGTGAGAAGGATGGAGGATGATGCTGTGGCCAGGATCAAGCGGGCCGAGAAAGTCCATCTGAAACCACAGCTGAAGATGGATGTCACATTCTGGATAGCTGTGTTTTTCACTCTAGGATCCGTCGTCTGGGTGGTAAATGGTGAGCTGCTGCGTTGCACATGCGTGGCGCGTGTTTGTTGACATGATCATGTAGGTTTCTTGGTGTGGTTCCCCGTATTGAGACCTGAGCTGGATACGGACGCTTTCAGTGAATCGGCCTCTGCGCTGGCTTTCATAGGCGGTACGATCTTCCTCGTCGGCTCGTATCTCATGGTGGTCGAGGCATTGGACAGGTGAGTTTTCGCAATGTACAATGATATCCGTCATCTGACAGGTGCTATCTACAGAGGACGGGAGATCAACTTTGGCACGGCTCTTGGGCAGCTCCTGCATCATCGTCGCTTTACCTCACCGCAAGCCACCGTCGGCTCATCAGATCTCTCCAAACTTCTTTCACATACGTCGACCTCTTCCGCGAACCTAGGCGACTCCCATACCCAAAATGTTGGGAATAGTGATAGAGGGAGGAGCAAGCTAGACGAGGAAGGAGCAAAGGTCATGGAAGGGGCGAAGGGCTTTGTGTGGTGGGGCAAACCTATGTGGCACGATATGGGTTATCTTGCGGTATGTGATGGCTCTCCTCTATCCCCAGGCGACTATCTAATAGGAGATGCAGGCTATCGTTCAGCTGTTCGCTGCCACAATCTTCTGGGTGTCGACCGTGTAAATTCCAGCCCAGGTGCTTCCTTTTGACACAGAGTGCTGACAACGGCTAGGACTGGTCTCCCTGGGGTCATACCTGGCTACGCAGATGGAGAAGGCTCAACAGCCATAATAGACGTATTCTTCTGGACACCTCAAGGTAAGTCCTTTATCCTTCGTAATAGACTTGTTACTGACCTTAAACAGTCATCGGTGGTACAGGCTTCATCATCTCCTCCCTCATCCTCATGCTCGAAACCCAAACCCACCCTTGGCTCCCAAACCTCACCGACATAGGCTGGTGGATCGGCTTCTGGAATCTCATTGGGGCTTTTGGTTTCATGCTTTGTGGAGCACTGGGGTATTCGGACAAGTCTGGGGTGGTGTATGAGTCGGATCTGGCTACTTTCTGGGGGAGTTGGGCGTTCTTGATAGGGAGTGTCGTGCAGCTAGGGGAGGCGATCTGGAGAGAGCCAGAAGAGGGAAATGGGAAGTCATGACGCAAGGTATTGCCAGGTTACTTTTGTTACACTGATCTGTTCTATAATGCATGCTCTCAAGATAACTAACGCACCCAACGAAGAAGAGACGCTGCATACGCAGTCTACAAGCTGAGGCTCGGTCTTCCGCACTTTCGTTGCTTTGGACTGGGCCACCCGGACCGGAATATCTCCCCTCGTCTTCGAAATAGTCTCCGTACTTTCCGTATATCTTCCCATGCTACCGAAGATCAAGTCGGGCCATGAGACACTACGGGAAGTTTGTCAAACAAGTTTACGACGAGTGCCTGTTCCAACTTCCAAGCATTGCGTACAACGTGCATCGTGCATCGTGCAAGGTTACGACTGATTTTGAAAACTAGACCGAGATGCCAGGAAGCCAAAGTTGGGTGACCCCCTCCTCTCTCCATGGGCCACATGCGTGGGGTAAGCCCATCACCTGCGAGGCCGTGCCCCACATGCACGTAGGCGTACGATGGGAATCTCTGCTTCCCAATCGTACGTATGCGTGCTCGAATCTCCCATTGCGGAGCGAAAGAGAACCTTCACGGGAAGCCCCTTGCGGACCTTTACTTCTTGCCAAGAGGCACCTTCGTCCTGCGTCGAAGAGCGAGAGACACGGGAAACGAGACAAGTCGACATCTCTCGCTTCGCACTGGGCCTCCTCCTACGTCTCCTGCCTCCTGCTGCACCTGCTGCGTCGAACAGCGTCGAAAACTTTGAAGTATGTATGCGCGTACGTATCCAAGTACTGATTCCCATGACCCAAGACATCCGTCCCGAGGCGCTTTTTTCGTTGCGCGGGGCAAACATTGGGGTACCGGGGAGGCCGGGGCCTCCGTTAGTCCCATACCTTCCAGCCTCCTGCTTTCGATGCGTTTACCGGAAACAGCAGAATATTTTCTTGTCTCGGTATCTCCCTTATTTACTATGCACCTCTTCCGTGTTTGGGCGCTTTTGTGGGCACCCGAGTCGCGCAGGTTCGATCTCGTCGTGACGTTGGTGGCGCCGGCCGCCGACCTTCCGGCACGGCTCGTCGGTGACTGCATTCAGGGAGGTTCGGTTCTTTTTCGTTCAACGACGTCATGCACGGGCTTTAACAGACGACCGGAATCGGCCCAAATAGAAACAGTTGCCGGCTGCTTTGGGTAATTATGTCAGACGATGTTGAATGACTCTGGGTTGTATGTCTTCTTATGGGGGCACAGAGGACACTTCGGGTGCACAAGAGGACATTGCAGAATATCAGGTACTTCTAATCTCAGACCTATTGCCATCCAAACTCTCAAGGAGCTCGGCCTATAGGATCTATAGATCTGTACATCCTCCTGCAATGACGAGAGAAGGGAGTCACCATGCCACCATGCCAGCAACCAGACGTGGTTGATCGCAAGCTATGATGGTAAGCCTTACGCATGCGGTGTGAACTGCATGACTGACTCTCTATGTCGCCAGCGATAAGCCGATAACTGCCCTGTCCGTCCAACTCTCCATCTATCTCTTATCACAGCTCCAGAACGACGGTACGACGCTCTTAATTGGTAGCCGTCATCGAGAGCCTTGTACGTCCCGAAACATCCATTTATGGCTAGGTCTATAGACGGCAGAAGGCTCCAATTTTGTGGATAGACAACAAAAGATCTGTAGACTATAGGTATTGCGTTATACCACACGTTCAACCTTTCCGGCTTTCCAGCGATGACGGCCCAAAAATCACCTTAGAATTCAAGCACTCAGGGTCAAACCCGAAACCCGTCCCTGCCGATCTTTTCTACTGTAACTCTCTCTGGGCACTGTAATTACGGTCCGGCTTCTACGCTTCCTCATTCCATGTTGAATGATCAGTTGATGCTTGTGATGGACGGTTGGAGAGGATGGCCCAAAGCGGAAGAGGTGTAGTGATATTAGCGTCTGTCTGGTAATTGATGACTGAGAGAGTTACCCCCGTCGCCTTTCATTGCGGTGTTCTGTGGGGGTCGTGAGAGGTCGGAGATCAGAACAGGCTGAAGCTTGAAAAGATTGAACGACGGACGAAGGAGAAGAACCGTCCATGTATGCTTTTTACTTCATCCTACCTCTCCCCTATGAGCGCCATGCGCTTCTCTATGCTTCTGACTCTCCTTGTCCAGTAGACTCACCCGAAATCCGAAGGACACCAGACAATAAGTGTTAGTAGATACGTGATAGCGGTAGACCGTCCTTAGTCTCAATATGGGCCGGTACATGAATACATGACGCGCTCAAGAGCTGCGAGATTGGGTGACTGTACGCGGATGCTGGAACGCCGTGCCGTGGTCGCATGCATCATGCGACAGCACCCAACTGCAGCTGGATGATAAGCAGGAGGAGGCGCATTGACAGCCACATCAGCTGTGTGTACGAGAGCGTACGATCCTCTACGATCGGAGCGAAAAGCGGGGGTTGTAGAGCGCACAAAGAGAGCGGGGTGGCCAGCAGGCCTGAAAGCGATACAGAGAGCACGAGTGACTGCCTCTGTGTCTCTGAGCGGAGCAATAAATGGCCACATGTAGACAGCATAGCAGGATCTGATACATGCAGAAGACAGAAGAATCGACCAAGAATAGCTAGCAGCCGAAACTACGGGAAGGGACGCCAGGGATTACGGAACGCTAAGTAATGAATTTCCTTATTTCTTACCTGGCCAAAAATCATGCTAGCCAGTTTTCCGCCGGCCCATGTTCTCTTGCATCAACATCTATAATCACCATACGTAGGCTGTAACCACTACACTTGGGCCTGTACATTGACCCGCCTCGACTATACCTCGACCCCCCCTACGCGACATATACCTCGGCAGCGCCATACCTCGACTCTCGCCTTTCCACAAAGAAGAGTGTCATAACAACCGACTGCCCGCCCGTTCGCCTCCGCCTGGCGACTATACACCAACTGGGACTGTGCTTGCCCCACTCTGCGTCTCCAACGCGTCGACAGAGACCGAGAGGCACGCTGTGGAGAGCCAGGACGCGCTGCGATTAACTGGGTGGTCTGTTTTGTTGAGCCCAAAGGAAGTGGAGGTGTGACTGTGCAGCTTTAGATCTACGTGCGTATCACATCTCTTTCCTCGTTCGCATCTCATCTTTCCCTGCTGACGCGTCTCCAGTCGCCTACCCCTCGCCCACCCGCCCCGTTATGAGTGGGTGGTGAAGTTGGTTCGTACCTGATTCATCCCCCCGGGTGTCAACAACCCCAACAGCACGCCACTGGCTGACCTTGCCTTCCAGCCCCCAGCCAGCCCATACATTAACTATCCTCTGTCCTTTTGTGTATCGTCCCCATCCTTCTGTCTGATAGTACGCCCCTTTCGCGCCCAGCCCGAAGCACATGCTAACCTAGATCTCCTCCCCTTCCCTATCCTTTCCCGCCGGCCCTTCCATTCTACCCCACATTCTGCGACCCTTTATCCTCCAACATCCCCCAACTTTTACCTTCGCGTACCACATTTTCGCATCTCTCCACTCCATCTACACCGCTCTCACAACCCGCTTTGATCCTCTCCCTGATCAGTCCAAAAATCGCTGTACAACAAGCCCGAATAATCCACGATGGACGCGCTCATACACCCCTCCATCGCTATACCAACCCTGCCAACGATACCACAATCCGCAGTCCCCTCTCCCACCTCCCAGCGGTCGCCGCGTGGTCCCACGACCCCTCCTCTACCAATACCACATCCCCAGCCGTCTGTTCCGTTTCCGCAGCGTGATGGAACGGATGGTTCCGGAACCAACCGACGGTCTTCACTCTCGTGTCTGCCGCCGGCGGAAGGGTCCTACTTTCCTCCCACCCCCAGCCCTAGCTCGAGAGTGGCGTCAAGTAGCTCGTCACCTGGAGGTACCAGTAGACCTCGGCCGCCACCCCTCGTGCTGCCGACCGACAGCCCCGATGACGCAGACTATGGCATCACGCCAACAACACAAGGCAAGGGGAAGGAGAAGGCTTGGGACCTGGTCAGCGACAGCCCCGAGCAGCTCAGGCCGGCGTGCGAGATTGACAGAGAGGACCCAGACGAGGCTGTGGCGCTTCGCCCAATCGAACCGCCCAATCCCCACAAGAGCCCTTCCGCGGGCAGTATCGTTCGCCTGATCAAGAAACGCTCGTCAGCCTCGATCCTGGGAGACCGTTCAGACGAGAGTGTACGCATCAGCATACGGCAAAGTCTCTCTAATCTAAAAGAAGGACTGCGGAGACCGGCATCCAAGTCTCCAGAAACCACCTTGACTCCTCTACATCCTCTTCCGCCTCCTTGCCCGGAACGTCGCATTTCTCCCAAGACGCGAAGCAGGAGCTTTGACAGCTCCAAGATCGACTTTAGTGCACCGCCTCCGGTGACCGCTGAATCGTCACTACGCCGATCCAAGACGGTTAGCAACCCCAGATCTCCCAAACCTCAATCGCTTCTCTTCACTGGCGAGTGTTCGCCCCGCCATGATGAAGCCTCAGTTGAGACGCATACTTCTGTCTCTGCCGGAGCCTTCTCCCCTATGAGCCTTACCAACAACCACCCTCTCTCTTCCGCTACCACGTCTCTTTCCCGCAGTGCCAAGAGCGGGAAAGAGGGTCAGCCCGGTAAAGCCAAGGAGAGGGGCAGCCAGGACTCGCTAGATTCGGTCAAGCAGTGGAAGACGAAGCAGAAGGTGCATCACGACAGGCTAGAAGTGCGCAAGCAGTCCCTCCTCGAGCTGGTGGAAAAAACAGTCTCCCACGCCCACGCTCTCGACATCCTTGAAAGCGTCTATCTGTCTTCTCACAACAGCAGCAGTCTCCCCGCCAGCGCCGTCGAGGATATACGTAAACTCAGACCCATGGTCGCCAGGATTCGTAAAGTCAACAATAGAGTCAAAGATATCATGGTGTCCGTGTTGAAGGAGGAAGGGATCGGGTACGGGCAATCGCTGGGGAAGAGAAAGAGCGAAGGAGATGTGTTTGAGACGAAGGCGGAGAGAGAGCAGGAGGAGAGGGCACACATGGAGGTGATGGGAGAGGAATTTGAGGAGAGACTAGACAGGGCAGTCAGCAAGATTTCGATAGCCATGCTGGCTGAAGTGAGTAACTGATCATATCTTGTGTGCACGCCACTGATTTTTCGTAGGAGAAGGGGTTCCGAAAGTACACCAAGCTTTGCGTGACCGGCCTCAATGCCAATAAAGTCTTCTCTGGCGTCAGCAATGGCGATCGAGAGAGATTTGAAGCTCGTTGCAAAGCCCAAATGGACTCTCGCGAACATTACGACCTTTCTGCCCTTCTCGAAACCAGCACCCTCGGGCTTACCAGCGTATCGAAACGTCGACTCCACTTTGAAGATTTCCTTCATGCTCCCTACCAACGTATACCGGGTTTGGTCCTGCTTCTTCAGCGTGTGCAAGACTCTTTCAAGGGAATTCCTATCAAAGTGGGAGATGACCTAGATGCGACTAGCCGTGCCTATGCGGATGTGGGCCGCCTGCGCGAGATGATTGCGAGGGTGGGGTCCACCACAGACAGTGCGCGAGGCGTGAAAATGAAGGAGGAGGCGACGGAGACTCTCATTTCACGCATGGACGCCCACGCGGAAGTCACGCCCGAAGTCCTTCGCTCGCTGGGTACCTGTCGCCTCATCGGTTCATTGAACGTGCTGTATCAGCATATTGAGCCGTTGCCGAAGCAGGCGACGGTCAAACATCTAGCAGCCTTCCTCTTTGACGGTTACCTGATTCTGGCAAAGGTGAAGAAGAACCAGAAGGTGTATGAACCGAGGCACTTTTTCCCGTTATCGATGTTTGTGATGTACGGTGTGACGACAGGTGAGCATCAGCGCAAGTCTTTCTAGTCAATGAACTGACATGGTATAGGTCCGATATCGCCAAGCATCCGTCTCGAGAGTGGTCGATTCAGCTACTTTTTGGGCGCCCTCAGTGCAGAAGAGCAAGCGGTCTGGCAGGACGCCCTCGACGTCGCTCGGGACAAGATTGTGTCCCCTTACGCGGTGCCGACGAGTCTTCCTGTTCCTATTCCGCAAGCCATCCAGGACGGGTGGATAGAAGCCGTGTGGAAGTCCTCCGCGGATATTACCAAGCCCATCTCATCTCCTCAGCAAACGCCTGCGCTGTCTCGTCGGGCGTCTATGGGGGCTACCAAGTCGCTTGATCTTGAGCGTATCACTCCCGTTACTCGGGCGAAACGTCGAAGTCCCGAGAAGCGTCATACGATGACTGGCCTCCCCACCAAATCTCTCAACCCAGATGACATCCTCTCTGCTCTGAAGACTGCTGACGCGAAGAGCAAGAACGACTCTGAGCCCTCTACCCCGGTCAAGTCTCCTGTCCGTACGACCTTCAACGCCATGACGCCTGACCGTAACAAAGAGTCGACTCAGACGTTGAAGCAACCGCAGAAAAGCATGATCGACAATGTCATGCACGGGCTGGAAGGCATCCTTGACAGCCAGTGCGCCCAGATTCGGAGGGGTGAGACCATCCGCAAGAGTCAGTCGATGGGAGCTTCTTCGCGTCGGAAGAGCACCAGTCAGCTTGTTGGGTTCAAGGACTCGATTGGCGCGACTGTTTTCACCGGTGCCGTCACCGAGTCTGTCATTCCCAAGCGTGAACCTACGTTGGGGCACGTCAAAGGCAGGCCTAGTTTGCCTGATGATTGGCAGCCTGGGGAAACGAGCGAACTTCCTCCGGCGGTGGCAGATTCGGATGAAGAGGAAGAGGAAGACGAGGAGGAGGAGGAGAGTGGTGGGACCTCAAGACCTATCTCCGAGTTTGGCGCTTCGACTTCTCGCCAGCCTCTTCCTCGCAATGGTTCCTCCACGTCCCTATTCGGCGTACCATCTTCAAAGGGCTCATTCTTGTTCATGTCCGCCTCCAACGACGACTCTCGAAACAGTCTTCGAATGCGCACCAAGCGAGACAAGACTAGAAAGGGCGCTGCTCTGGCTGAGAATGAGATTGCAAAGGAGAAAGAGAAGGACCCGGTCGGGCACGCGAGGAAGAAGAGCGAGCCGACAAGGCGCAAGATTTCGAGCAAAGAAGGCATGGCGCACTACACCCACATCCGGGAGAAATCCCAGCCTGCTTCCCCGATGCTCTCTCCAGCCCACGAGCAGCCGTCTTTCGAAAATAGTCTTCGACACGAGGACGAGCAAGCTGTATCGACGGCTCCGGCGGAAGAGACGGTCGAAGAGATGGCTGAAGGCGAGGATGGTGTTCTTTTGACTGCTCCGGGACTGAAGAGGAGGAGTTTCTCTTATGACTCTACTCCCATCGCTCGACGACCTGGCCCCTCTCGTCAGATTACTCCGCCAGAGTATTCGATTCCCGAGCCGCATGGCCCAGCACCTGTCCAGCCGTTCGGCGCATCCTTCGGCGGGTTCTTTGACAGGTCCAGGAGGGACAGCGACCGCTCGAGAAAAGATAGTCGAACGTCCGAGAGCGCCGCACCCGGTGGACTGAGCAGGCGCTCAAGCTTTGTCTCGGTCAAGTCTTCGCTCAAGAGATCCCTTAGTGGTATCTCCCTCCTCTCGACCAGGAAGAGTCCCAACACTGAAGTGCCCGATATTGGCATGGATGACAATACGGGGAGCAGTGCCCAGTCTACTCCGGGGACTGAGTTCAGCCCCATGTCGCCCATCACTGGGTTGTATGGCGCGGAAGACGACCACGGGAGAGATGTTCTCGAGATGAAGAGGGTGGCGCCTACGCGGCAGAAGAGTTTCAAGAACCTTTATGGGCTTGGATTCTCTTCCATGAGACCAGAAAGGGGTTGAGGGGGCGAGTAGGGGAGGAGAGATGGACAGAGGTTTTTCATTTTTTGTTGTATTACCACTTTGTGTTTGTTTTCACGGACGATATACGTAGGGACATTCCATATAGCATCACGGAAGACAGACAACATCATATAGTTTACCAAGTATTTCGCTTTACAGTTTCAGACACGTCCGGCATGTTTCCATCAGCATTTGGTTAGCTTTGAGGTGGGGAGAGGAGTACGATTAGCTGTTTTTTGTCACTTTGTAATAGTCAACCCATGCGATCATGTTTCCTGTCGCTCTCTCTCTGCTCTCTGCTCTCTGCATACCCTCCCTGCACCCTCCACAGCCCGTCGACGTCTTTCGGCGCTGCTCGGCGTCGTTCCGGCTAAGGGCGATACCCGGCGGCCAAACACGTCGCTGTTCATAAAAGTCATCTCTCTTCTCTTTCTTTTCCATCGCAACTCCATTCTCCCTCTCCGATGCCCCTCGGGATCCTCTCCTGCACACGATCACCAAGAGCCATGACTCTCACCCGCTCCTTCGCATCCTCTGTCCCCCGCAAGTCGGCAGCGCCCCAGAAGCCTCTCTACGCCTCCCAGGCATCCATCCCCCACCTCCCCGTCCCAACCCTCTCCTCCACGCTCCACAAGTACATCGAGTCGCTCCCACCTCTACTGTCGCCTGAAGAGCTGGCAAAGTCGGAGAAGGCAGTCAATAAGTTTCTCCATTCGGACCAGGCGAAGAAGCTCCAGCAAGGCCTCGAGCGGAGAGCTGCCGAGAAGGAATCGTGGTTGAGCGAGTGGTGGAATGAGGGGGCGTATATGGGCTACAGGGGTAGGATCATCCCGAATGTCAACTACTTTTACACCCACAAGCGTGGGCTTGGACAGGGTAAGGGGCAGACCGAGCGCGCTGCCGAGCTCATCCGGGCGACTGTCGAATTCAAGAAGCTTGTTGACAGGTGAGTCGAGTCTGTAGTGTACATGACAGGAGATGATGATTGATAGTGAGGCGCTAGAGCCCGAGAAGACCAAGGCGGGACCACTCTGCTCTGCTTCTTACGTCAACCTCTTCAATTCTGCCCGGCAACCCACCAAGCCCTCCGACCTGCCCAAGTCTTTCGGCCCTGACAACCACCATATCGTGGTCCTCCGCAACAACAGGTACTTCAAGGTCGACACCAAGGGCCGGGGTAAGAAGGAACTGCAAGAGGCGTTCGAAAAGGTGATAAAGATTGCCGATCAGAAGGAAGGTAGCGGCCTTGGTATCTTGACCGCCGACGACCGAGATCTTTGGACCGAGGTATGTGTGATACTTATAACATTTGCATGTAGCTGACCTTCCTCAGACCCGTGATCATGTCATCTCAATGTCCACCGCGAACAAGAAGTCTATCGAGACTATCGACTCTTCCATCCTCCTTCTCTCGCTCGACTCTGCCCCTCCCGCGTCTGCCGTTGGCGATGATGCCAGAGCTTGGTCTCTCTGGGCTGGTGGAAATGACGAGTTTGGCGGCAACCAGGGCAAGGGATTCAACAGGTGGTTTGACAAGCATGAGATCATTGTAGATTCCGCCGGTGAGAGTGGATTCAACGGTGAACGTGAGTCGTCATTCCTCTCTGTAGACTCGAGCTGATGGGAGAAGACTCTATGCTGGATGGTACCCCCACTCTCCGTCTTAACGAATTTATGCTCGCTTCTTTGGCCAACCAGAAGATCCCTCTAGAGCTTCCCGAGGGCGAGCGAAACAGCGCATCCATGCCCGAGCCCGAGGAAGTGGTCTTTGAGCTCGACGCCAAGACCAAGCAGATCGTTGAAGAGTCCAAGAAGGGCTTCTCCGAAGAGATGGCTAGACAGAATCTCAGTGTGAGTACCACCACCACCTGAGCCAGACGTCACGCTGACAGACCCCAGATGGTGACCTTCAACGGCTACGGCAAGAACTTTATCAAAACCCTCAAAACCTCCCCCGACGCCTACTCCCAACTCACTACTCACCTCGCATTCTACCGCCTCTTCAACCGCTCCCCCACCACCTACGAATCCTGCCAAACCCGTAAATTCCTCTACGGCCGTACCGAAGTCATCCGAGCCACTTCTTCCGAGGCGCAAGCTTGGGTCAAGAGCATGCTGGATGGAAAGAAGAGTGACGGGGAGAGGAGGCTGTTGTGGGATAAGGCGGTGGGGAGGCATGTGCAGTATGCCAAGTGGGCGGCGGACGGGCAAGGGGTGGATAGGCACCTGTATGGGCTCAAGAAGCTGGTCAAGGAGGGCGAGGAGATGCCTGAAATCTTTACCGACCCGGCGTACGCCAAGTCGTCCAACTGGGAGCTATCGACGTCCAACCTCGGCTCGGCCTTCCTCGACGGCTGGGGCTATGGCGAGGTCGTGCCCGAGGGCTATGGGGTGTCTTACAGTGTGGGCGACAATGATATGAAGTGGGGTGTCACGACGATGAGGAAAGATGTGGATGCCAAGAAGTTTGGGCAGGCATTGCAGGATGCGGCCAAGGAGGTCGGAGAGATGATGGAGAGGTCGAAGAAGCTCGCAGAGAGCAAATAAGTAGATGATTGTAGACGTGCATTGTGCATAGTGTCAGAAGTCTGAAGATATGAATTGTAGCTATGTATACCCTCGAAACACTGGCTCGACTCGATCCCCTCCCTAGTCGAACAAGAATTCAAAATTTGGGCCGTCCGCAGACCACACAAGGCAGGTCCCACTGCGGATCATCCGTCTTTCCCGATGATGTTCACCTTGGTGGGCGGATTCATTTGCCTGCCTTCGTGATCTTGCTCGTCCTCGCCCTCATCTTCATTTTCGCCCTCATTCCCATTTTCGTCCTCGCCTTCGGCCTCATAAAAGCACTCCTTCTGATCCTCGCCTGGTGATATTTTTCTAGATGTATTCTTCTCGCCAAAGCCTTCCTTCTTCTAGGGTCATTGTAAGATGCAGTCGTAATCTCAGACAATGAGGGACTGTATATGTAGGCGATGCGAGGTCTGGGTGGATCACACTTGCTATGGCAAAGTCAGCTTCGCTCATTTCTTGTCATGCCAGCTTACTATCGCCAATTATCACGCAGGACTTCTGCTTTGTAATACTCTAGGAAGGACGCTACCTCCCTATCGAGCGCCATCGTATCAGACTTTGGTTGGCAATAGAGGTGTAGCTGTGTGTTGGGGGCAGGCATCTTGAGCTGGCAGATGTCGTTGATATTATGGATACACACTTGATCCCATAGACACCCAAGTGCAAACCCGGGTAACAGACGCCGCACATCCTTCACCTTGCTTGGTAGTCGAATGCTGAAAGTGGCAGGATTGAACACCCCATAGTGATCGCACATCGTGAAAGCAAACTCGTAAGCAGTGGGGTATCGCGCCATCTTGTCGACTAGATCTTCTCCGAATATGAGAATATGGATACCATGGAACAACCATGACCTCTCACAACTATGGAGCAAGCTATTAATCCTGTCGTTCCATTTATTATAGACTGCCGTAGCCTCTTGCCAGCCGAGTAGGGCAGGGGTATCGGCCAGAGTCATGGTATGGATGAGTGACTTCAGGTGGAATAGTCGTCTCGATATAGGACAAGAAGAAATGAAAGACGGGCTGGTACAAGTCGTGTATTGATGACCCCGCCCGGACACCGCGACCCCTCTTGATCACGCTGAGATCGCAGCTTAGAAGCTCTGCTATCCCAGACTGGTCGTCCCCGGACAAGACTGGCCACAAGAATAGCTCAACATTAGTCGCGTCGAGAATGACATCATGATAGAGCTTGGGGAGGAATTCGGAGTAATAGTGGCGAGAGAGGAGGATGAGGGCGAAGAGGGTAGGCTTGTGGGTGATAGCGCTGAGGTGGCCAAAGATAGCAGCTTGGATGTCGGCGTTGGGAGGGGCGAGAGAGGTGATGCCGATGTGGAGTGGCATGATGTGGGAGACGAGGTGAAGGTAGTGCCGGCTCTTGACAGTGTAATTGCCTATGTAGTATAGATAGCGCAGATGCAACTAAAGCAAAGTCAAATCCAGCCAAAGTCGCGCCGTCGTCACATGCGAAGAGAGTCATCACCGCCCGGTAGTCCCGGGGATGATCTGATGTACGTATGTGGGGTGGGATAGATGTTGACTTGGGATACCGAGAGCCAGGTCTCTACTGCCCCTCTTCTGCAAGGTGATTTGAAATGAGGCTTGTGGAAGCAAGATATCCCAGTCGTCTTGGTTATAACTGGTAAAGATTCGCAAGTACTGCTCGACGGACTGGTTGACTCGTTCAGTCTGCCCATCGGTCTGTGGGTGATACGCGGTGGAGAGATTGAGCTTGA